GTTATTGAAAAGGAAAGGAGCCTAAACAAATATGTAGAAAGTTGCGACCAAAAAGAATGAATCCTGGTGTTGTATTGGTAAAGGGACCATAGTTACAAGTGATATATATTTCAATATTTCTAATTGATTTTAATTCATGTACCTCAAGGAAATGATAAATGATTGAGGTAGAAGAACTGTTGATATACATGTATACGTACACATACTTGTGAGATTATCTAGATTATGATTAGCTTCTGTGAATGTCTGAGAGGGATTATCTTCATTAGGTGAATTGATGTTGGAAAACCCTTTCACCTGTGGGCAAGGGCATGCCTTGTGTGTGATTCTTGACCTGCACAATATAGAGAAAGCGAGTTGAGCTCTAGCTTCCCTCACTCTCTGCATCTTAGTTGTGGTTGTGATGTGAGCAGCTGCTTGAAACTCCTTTCACTGTGTCTTCCATATTATATTAGTTTTATGCTCGAACTTAGGTCTCAAACAATCTATGTTCCAAAGTAAGGAACAAAGCTTACTCAACTTGCTTTTATAGGTGTTCTATAATAGCAACAAAGAGAGACAAGAACACATCCCTGTGAGCCTGGAAGTTAGGTCTTTACTCATGTGGTTCTCCCAGAAATTCACTCAGATTCTTCAGTCTTGATAGAGAGGAAAATTGAATTCTTCATCAAGGTAATCCCCTGGTCCCTGAAGTAAGAAGAGAGAAGAGAAAAATTAACTACAAACTCCTGCTTTCAAATGAAGTCATTTTCATATGTAAGCAATTTGCTGCACTTCTCAGGTTCAAAGAACAGACTTTACAAGGAGCCTTTAAGAGCCATTTAAACATGGTCTTCTTTCACCTGCTCTGCTCTTCCTTAGTTATAGTCTTTAGTGGTGCACAGGTCTTTATTTTTTCAGGAATTTTCCTCATTCTCCATCATGCCTATTTACTCAGAAGGCATTTGTGAGGCTGTGGAGATGTTTCATTGTTTAAGAGAACTCACTGGTTGTTCTTCCAGAAGATCTATGTTCAACTCCCAGTACCCACATGGTGGCTCACAATGATTTATGACTCCAGTTCCAGTGAATCTGACTTCCTATTCTGTCTTCTTTAGGCACAAGGTATGTGTGTTGCACAGGCATGTATGCATACCAGACACTCATAGACAAAAAAAATAAGAAAGAAGATGCTGGCATCATCTCTATTTCTCTCCCAGTATGCCATCATGTGTGTTGAAGCTAATGGGTCACTAATGGGTTTATCGTAAGTGCATTTTGAAATGGGTGGCAAAGAGCCCTCAGCTATGACAGGCTGCTTCTCCAACGTCATTCTGTCACACAGACTCAGAGAATCTGCAAATTCCCGCATGAGAGAAGCAGCATGGATGACTCTGGGCTCCTTGAGCAGGCAAATTTTCTTCATGGCTATCACTCTGTGTAAGAAACTCTTGTAATATCTTGAATAAAGTACTAAACTCCCACGTTCTCAGTTACCCCCATTGCTATTGTTTGTTTTGGTTTTATGAGACAGAGTTTCTCTGTGTAGCTTTGGAGCCTATCTTGGCACTTGCTCTGGAGACCAGGCTGGCCTGGAATTCACAGAGATCTGTCTGCCTCTGCCTCCAGAGTGATGGTATTAAGGGCATGTGCCACCAATGCTTAGCCTTTTTTTTTTTGGTATGACAAAAATTTTTGAGAGATTGACTCCAAGCATAGATTACCCTGGCCTAGATTATCTCATGTATCTCAGTCTGCCCTCAACCTCATGATGCTCCTGCTTCCGTGTCCCCAGAATTGGGATTACAAATGTGAATCTTGACTCATTGCCACTTTTATTTATTTAATTATTTATCTATTTATTTATCTGTTTCTTGTAGATTACACATAATACTGGGTTTATAATTCACTTCCTACATACACTTTCAGAGGCCACTAATCTGAAATCCAGGAATGTTCTGTATTTCTTTTTTATTGCTTTTGATTTTCATTCCTACTCAAACATGTTTTTCTTTTATATGGCAACAATCTCTGATATAGAGGCCCATTGGTCTCTGTAAAACTGTTACTTGATTTATGAGACTGTGCCCCCTCTGGAAATGTCTTTTCCTGTTCACTATGTCAGCAAGAACATCTTAACCAGTTTCAATATTGCTAATTTCTAGATTACTCAAGAACATGCATTTCTCTACTAGACACTTTTGGCAGTTTTGGTCTGTATCCATAACTTCTTGAAGAAATCTTTTTCTTTTCATTCCCCCAATTTAAGGCATTATTTCTGTTTTCTGAAGGTGTGAAGAGTATATATACTTGTTTGTTTCTGTTGTGTTTACCTTTGCTTTAATGTTAAAGTTCCTCAGCTCTCAGATTTAATTTATTTCCCCAATGATTACCACAGAGTGAATAAGGACTGCTCTTTGCACCTCTGTTCCATTTTTGGTCCAGAATCTGCATCGCAAATGTCTGAGGCACTATTCATTTTGCTTAGTATTAAGAGTGGCTTTGGAGATGGGAGATAATGAGAAAAATTAGCTTGAATTCTCTCATTTTGGGCTTTATTCTTTTCTAGCTTCCACCCTTCTTTTCTTTTGTTGCACATTTTGGTTTACTCTATGATATCTAATTTGTTGTTGTAACTTTTTTTAACATAATGTTTCAAAAGGACTGTCAATCAGCTATAGCTCCCCTAATGTTTCTGCAAAGGTCACCTGATTTAAATATTCTTGGATTTTAATCAAAGCTTATACTAGGGAAACTTGTAAACTTTTATTGGAGAGCTGAAAGCCAATATCTTCAATTATATATGTTGCTCTCTGTGATGGTATATTTGCCTGCTGATTGACACCAGCCACCCTCACACCTACTGCCCAGGCATCTGCTTTTGTATTTGCTGACTGATTTGCATGGGTCCCTCCAGCCTAGCCCAGATGCTTTGAGTTTATAAACCAGGCCTTGATAGTGAGAACTAAGCATCATCAGACAGGCCAGGGGAGCAAGATGGAGTCACACACCCAGGTCCTCATGTCTCTTCTGCTCTGGGTGTCTGGTGAGAAAAGTATTATATTTTCAGAGTCTCTTCTTTGTATATAAGAAATTCATATGTGTGCCAGGGTTTAATATTTTTATGTCATAGTACTTTGACAACATGGTGCTACAAGGACATTAAATGACTAATTTTATATGTCTTAAAATCTTTTTATTATATACATGATTATTGGTTGTTCTGATGGCAGGTGCCTGTGCAGATATCGTGATGACACAGTCTCCATCCTTCCTGGCTGTGTCAGCAGGAGAAAGGGCCACCATTAGCTGCAAGTCCAGTCAGAGTCTTTTATCCAGTGCAAATCAGAAGAACTACTTGAACTGGTACCAGCAGAAAGGCTCTCTGTGATGGTATATTTGCCTGCTGATTGACACCAGCCACTCTCACTCTAACTGCCCAGGCATCTGCTTTTGTATTTGCTGACTGATTTGCATTGGAGGCCTCCAGCCTAGCCCAGATGCTTGGAGTTTATAAACCAGGCCTTGATAGGGAGAACTAAGCATCATCAGACAGGCAGGGGAAGCAAGATGGAGTCACACACCCAGGTCCTCATGTCTCTTCTGCTCTGGGTGTCTGGTGAGAAAAGTATTATATTTTCAGAGTCTCTTCTTTGTATATAAGAATTCATAATGTGTGCCAGCGTTTAATATTTTTATGTCATAGTACTTTGGCAACATGGTGCTAGAAGGACATTGAATGACTAATTTTATATGTCTTAAAATCTTTTTATTATATACATGATTATTGGTTTTTCTGATTGCAGGTGCCTGTGCAGATATCGTGATGACACAGACTCCATCCTTCCTGGCTGTGTCAGCAGGAGAAAGGGCCACCATTAGCTGCAAGTCCAGTCAGAGTCTTTTATCCAGTGCAAATCAGAAGAACTACTTGAACTGGTACCAGCAGAAAGCAGGGCAGTCTCCTAAACTGCTGATCTACTTAGCATCCACTCGGTACACTGGGGTCCCTGATCGCTTCACAGGCAGTGGATCTGGGACAGACTTCACTCTCACCATCAGCAACATCCAGGCTGAAGACATGGGAGATTACTACTGTTTGCAGGATTATAGTGCTCCTCCCACAGTGCTTCAGCCTCCAACAAAAACCTCCTCTGAGAGTCTCACCAGCTGCTTGCACCACTCACAGCCCTGGACCTGCAACTTCCCTCTTCTGCCCAAGAGCCTGAAAACTCATGAAACTCCTCATGAAAATGTTTTCAGAGTCCAGCAAAAATAATGGGTTCAATGTCTGTTACATCTTCTGCCATGAAAAAAAATCCTTTATACAAAATGCAAAGGGGAACTCACTATTATCCTTCTATTCTTTCTGTAATACATTACCACAAATTGTTGTTTGAATATGAAGGATTTATATTTTTCCCTTTTTTATTTAAATTAGAAACAAGTTCTTTTACATGGCAATCCCAGGTTTCTCACCCCCGCCCCCAACTGACCCACGATACAATCCCCTTTCTGCTCCTTAGGGAGAGCTTCCATGGGGAATCTGATAAGTCTGTCATATCATTTGGAGCAGGGCCTAGACCCTCCTCTTTGTGTCTAGGCTGAGAGAGTATCCCTCTATGTGGAGTGGACTCCCAATGTCCATTAATATATTAGGAATAAATACTGATACACTACTAGAAGCCCCATAGATTAACCAGAGTTCCAAGCTGACATCCTCATCAGGGTGTCTGGATCAGTCCTATGCTGCTTTCCCAGCTATCCATCCGGGGTCCATGAGCAACCTGTTGTTCAGTTCAGGTGTTTCTGTGTGTTTCTCCAGCCTACTCTTGACCCATTTGCTCATCACTCCTCCCTCTTTGCAACTGGATTCCAGGAGATTGGCTCAGTGCTTAGCTGTGGGTGTCTGCTTCTGCTTCCATCAGCTACTGGATGTAAGGCTCTAGGCTTTAGGATGGCATTTAATGTAGTCATCAGTCTCATCATAGGGGAAGGGTATTTAAGGTAGCCTCTTCACTATTGCTTAGCTTGTTATTTGGGATCTTCCTGTAGATCTGGACATTTCCCTAGTGCTGGATTTCTTTTCAAACCTTTAATGGCTCCTTCTATTATGGTATCTCTTTTCTTGCTCTCCTTTTTTTTGAAGGGCATCTAGGATGTTTCCAGATTCTTGCTATTAAAAATAATGCTGCTATGAATTGTTTTTATTTTCATTTCCCTAATGGCTACAGATGTTGAACACTTTCCTTTGTGTCTTTCAGGCCTTTTAGATTCCTCAATTGAGAATTGCCTATTTAGTTCTGCACCCCATTTTTTAATTTGATTGTTTGGTGTTTTCAAGAATAGCTTCTTGAGTACTTTGTATATTTTGGAGACCAGCCTTCTGTCAGATGTGGGGTGGTGAATATCTTTTCCCAGTCTGTGGGCTGTCCTTTTGTCTTGCTGACTATGTCCTTTGTCCAACAGAAGCTTCTCAGTTTCAGACGGTTCCATTTATTAATTGTTGGTCTCAGTGTCCATGCTACTGATGTTATGTTCAGGAAGCAGTCTCCTGTACTGATTAACTCAAGTGTATTTCCCACTTTGTCTTCTAGTAGGTTCAGTGTGGCTGGGGTTTATGCTGAGGTCTTTGATCCATTTTGACTTAATTTTTGTGCAGGGACAAAGGCTTGGGTCTATCTGTAATCTTCTACATGTTTGCATCCAGTTATGCTAGCACCATTTGTTGAAGATATTCTCTTTGTTATAGCATATATATTTGGATTGTTTGTCAAAAATTAGGTGTTCATAGGGTGTGGGCTTATATCAGGGTTTTCAACTCTATTCCATTGGTCTACCTGTCTATTTTGTGCCAATACCAAGCTGTTTTCAGGACTATAGCTCTGTAATAGAGGTTAAAGTTTGGGATGGTGATGGCTCCCGAAGTTCCTCTATTGTACAGGGTTGTTTTGACTATCCTGGGTCTCTTGTTTCTCCATATAAAGTTCAGAATTGTTCTTTCAAGGTCAGTGAATAATTTTGTTGGGATTGTGTTGGGGATTGCACTGAATCTGTAGATTGCTTTTAACAAGATTGTCATTTTTATTATGTTGACTCTACCTATCTAAGAGCATGGGAGATCTTCCCATTTTTGTGTATCTTCTTTAATTTCTCTCTTTAGAGACTCAAAATTCTTATGGTACAGGTGTGTCACTATTTTGGTTAGTGTTACTCCAATGTATTTTATGTTGTTTGTGGCAATTGTAAAGGGTGTTGCTTCTATGATTTCTTTCTTCACCAATGTGTTATCTGTATATATTAGGCCTATAGATTTTTTTGAGTTAATCTTGTATCCTGCCACTTTGCTGAAGTGTTTATCATCTGTAGGAGTTCACTGGTTGAGTTTTTTTATTCACGTATGTAGACTATCATACCATCTGCAAATAGTGAGAGTTTCATTCTTCCTTTTGATTTGTATTCCCTTGGTCTCCATTATTGCTCTAGAGAGAACATCAGGGACAATATTGAAGAGGTATGGAGTAAATGTCTTGTTCCTGATACTAGGGGAAACCAGTTCGTTCCTCTCCATTTATTTTTATTTTGGCTGTTAGCTTGCTGTATATTACTTTCATTATGCTTAGGTATGTTCTGTAATCCCTGATCCCTCTGAGATCTTTATCTTAAGGGATGTTAGATTTTTTTCAAAGGCTTTGTAGCATCTAGTGAGGTGATCATGTGGTTTTTCTTTCTCAGTCTGTTTATATGATGGATTACATTGATGGATTTTTGTACATTTCCTTTAGATTTTCAAATTTTGAGGAATCTAGGTTTTCAAAGTATAACCTGATGATTCTCTGGATTTCCTCTCTGTCCTTTGCTATGTCCCCCTTTTCATTCCTGATTTTATTAATTTGCATGTTCTCTCTTTCTTGTTTGGTAAGTTTGGATAAAGGTTTGTCTCTCTTGTTGATTTTCTCGAAGAACCAACTTTTTGTTATATTGATTCTTTGTATTGTTCTCCTAGTTTCCATTTTATTGATTTCAGCCCTCAGTTTGATTATTGCTTGGCACCTGCTCCTCCAAGGTGTATTGGTGTATTGACTTCTTTGTTTTCTAAAGCTTTCAGTTGTGCTGTTAATTCTCTAGTGTTATTATTCTCCTGTTTCTTCAAGTGTGCATTTAGTGCTATGAACTTTCCTCCTAACACTGCTTTCAAAGTATCCCATAGGTTTGGATATGTTGTGTCTGCATTCTCATTGAATTTTAGGAAATGTATAATTTCTTTTTTTATTTCTTCCTAGACCCATGAATTGTGCAAATGGGTGTTACTTAATTTCCATGAGTTTATAGGTATTCTGTAGTTTGTATTGTTGTTGAATTCTAATTTTAAAACATGGTGATCAGATAAGACACAGGGGGTTATTTCAATTTTTTTGTACTTGTTGAGGTTTGCTATGTTGCCAAGTATGTGGTCGATTTTAGAGAAGGTTCCATGTGGCTCTGAGAAGAAGGTAAATTGTTTTATATTTGTGTGCAATGTTCTATAGATATCTTTTAAGTCCAATTGCACCATAACTTCTATTAGTTCTTTGGTTTGTTTGTTAAGTTTCTGTCTGGTGTTCCTGTTCAGTACTGAGAGTGGTTTGGTGATATCTCCCACTATAAGTGAGTGAGATTTTATGTGTGATTTGAATTTTGGTAATGTTTCTTTTACAAACATGGATGCCTTTGTATTTGGGGCATAAATGTTCAGAATTGAGACTTCATCCTGATGGATTTCTCCTGTGGTTAGTAGGAAATGACCTTCTTCATCTCCTTTGACTGATTTTAGTTTAAAGTCTAATTTATTGGATATTAGGATTGCTACACCCAATTGTTTCTTGGGTCCATTTGAGTAGAAGATCTTTCCCCAAAATTTGATTTATAGGTACCATCTGTCTTTGAGGTTGAGGTGAGTTTCTTGCATGCAGCAGAAGGATGGATTCTGTCTTCTTATCCATTCTGCTAATTTGTGTCTTTTTATAGGGAGTTGAGACCATTAATGTTGATGGATTTAATGACCATTGATTATTGTTCATTCCTGCTTGTTTTTGATTTGGTGATGGTTGCAAGATTATGTGTGGGATTCTGTCCCTTTTTCCTTTTGGCTGTTGGTAAGTTGGGATTATCTATTGCCTATATTTTTCGGGTTGTAGTTAACTTCCCTGGGTTGCACTTTTCCTTCCAGTACTTTCTGTCAGGCTATATTGGTGGATATGTATTGTTTGAATCTGCTTTTGTCATGTAATATCTTGTTTACTCCATCTATAATGATTGAAAGCTTTGCTGGGTATAGTAGTCTGGACGGGTATCCATGGTCTCTTAGTGTAGGTAGAATATCTATCCAAGACCCTCTGGCTTTCAGAGTTTCCAAGGAAAATTCAGGTGTGATTCTGATAGTTTTGCCTTTACAGGTTACTTGAACTTTTTCCTTTGCTGCTCTTAATATTTTCTCTTTGTTGTATATGTTTGATGTTTTCATTATTATGTGGCAAGGTGAGCTTTTTTTGGTTCAGTCTATTTGGTGTTCTGTAGGCTTCTTGTATTTTCATTGGTATGTCTTTCTTTAGGTTGGGAAAGTTTTCTTCTATGATTTTGTTGAATATGATTTCTGCACCTTTGAGTTGTATTCACCTTCTTCTATACCTATTATTCTTAGGTTTGATCTTTTGATGGTATCCCATATTTCCTGGATATTTTGTGTTAGGCATTTGTTGGACTTAAGATTTTCTTTGGTTGATGAATCTATTTCTGCTAGTGTGTCTTCACTCTTGAGATTCTTCTATCTCTTTTATTCTGTTGGTTATGCTTACATCTGTGGTTCCTAGTCATTTACCCAGCTTTTCTCTTTCCAGAATTCCCTCAGATTGTACTTTCCTTATTGTCTCTATTTCAGTTTTTAGGTCTTGAATTGTTTCCTTGAGAGATTTATTGATATCTTGTATTTTTTTTTTTAGTTTTTTCTTCCATTTCTTTAAGGGAATTTCTCATGTCCTCTTTGAGGTCCTCTATCATTTTCATTAAGATGCTTTTAATGTCTTTCTCTTCTGGTTCATCTGCATCATGATGTTCAGGTCTTACTGGTGTATGATTCCTAGACTCCGGTGATGTCATATTGCGCTTTCTGTTGTTGGAGTTACTTTTACTTTGTCCTCTTCTCATCCTTTCTTCTGGTGGGTATAGCAAGAGTTTCTTGTTCTCCTGGTGGGTGTGGGACCAAGGTTCTCTTCTGGTAGATGCAAACAGGTCCAATACTGT